TCCTCCTTCTCCTCCTTCTCCTCCTCCTCCTCCTCCTCCTCCTCCTCCTCCTCCTTGTCCAGCCCGCGACAACACTGGTCGCCACGCACCTGCACCAATCGGAGCCGCCTTTGCTCCTACCTGTAGATGCAGGGGGGCCAAGGCACACATCATCTAGCACAGCGCATGCTGCGCTGGAAAGCGGGTGTGCACATGGGCCCTTTCTCCCCCTTCCTTCTGACCGGGACCAGGTGCTGGGCCACCTCAGCCCCCCAGCGGGCGCCAAGCTTCGACTTTTTCTGAGGGGGGAGATGATGAGGGCCTTCGAATCCGCTCGCTGGAATCAGTAAGGAATTCAACAAAAAAGACGACAACTGCTGGGGGTGGTCTGATGAGGGCCTTCCGCGTTCGGACTCGCTTGCTGGAGTAGACTAGGAATTCGACGAAAAAGACGACAACGACAACCCACCCATCACCAACACTGAAACGGCTCAGCTCTAGTCTTAGGTCGGGCATGTCCTCCTATAGGCAGATGTTGGAAGATACATGTTTTAAAACCAAATAGCCGAACAATTGCACCCATACAATGTTTGACTATCTTTAGGGAGACAATGGAGGGACAGTCTGAGAAAAACGCATAAACATACACTTTTGGCGCTCCGCGCGGATTTCTTGGATTCTCGCTGGACTCCCCTCCCTGGCGCGAGGAGCGCGCCAGGGGCGGCGCCGGAGGCGCCGCCAGGGGGGCCCAGCGCGGATCCAAGAAATCTGCGCGGAGCGCCAAAGTTTCTGTTTATGTGGCTTTTTCTTTGATAGACGTTGTTGTTCGTTTTGATTTCGTTTTGTGTTTCGTTGTGCTCTACCTGTTTTCCTGTACCTCCCTGTCAACACGAAGGACAAAACACAACCGGAGTTCAGCAACACAGCGTTTAGGTCCAGCCCTGCAATGGGGCAGTGGGAGAGGGCTAGGACTAGGACGGTGGCCTGCTTCCGAAGAGGCAGGTCCAAGAAAAGAGAAGGTGGCAAGACTAGAGGGTAGAACATCTACCCCGATAATAGCCACCCCGACACGCGAAGCCGTCTAGTAAACGCGCCCAAAGAAAGAATCTAACAGGGCAGGGCTGCTTCGTAAACGCCTAGGGCCCTTTAGTAAACGCGACTTGTCGGGTCCGGGTGTTTTTTCCTCCCTTGAATTAGGTCGGGCCTGTCCTCCTCCAGGTGGATTTTGGACGAGAAAGAACATATAGTCGAAAATACCCCCAAATAATCAAACAATGCAAACACAAATCGCCACCCCGCCTTGTTTTGAAACTGTTTCTGCATACTCCCCCTGCATGCAAGAGGGGCAGGCCCGACCCAACCCTTGAAAGCAGAGAGGGGGGCGGCCGCGCCTGGCGCGAGCCGCTCACCACGGACGGACCGACCCCAGCACTGGGGAGCACGGGGGGCCACGAAATGGGCCGAAGAGGCATTACTGGAGGGGAGACAATCCCCCCCCCCACAAGAACCAAGGGCTCCCACCTTCCCAAGGGGCCCCCAAGAGCCCCCTGAGAGGCCCCAGGGGAGCCCAAGACGCCGCCAAGGAGCCCCAAGACGCTCCCAAGGAGCCCCCAAGAGGCCCCCAAGACGGCCCCGAGAGGCCCCAAATAGCGCTCCAGGGCCGGCGGAATGAGCGAAGCGATTAAATAGCCAAGGGCTCCCAACTTCGCGCTTCGCGCTGCGCGAGGCGCGGAGTGCGAACAACTTCGCGCTCTCGCGCCGCCTCCCGGGGGAGAAGAGGAGGACGAGGAGGATTCGGAGCCGAAACGAGAAGCGCGAACAACTTCGCGCCCTCGAGGGCGCCCTTGATAACCACCCCAACACGCGAAGCCGTTTAGTAAACACGCCCAAAAAAGGAATCGAACAGGGCAAAACTGTTTACTAAACGCCCGAGGCCGTTTAGTAAACGCCAATTGTCCGGTCTGGGTGGCTTTCCTCCCTTGATGGAAGTAAGCCGTACGCTCCGCACCAAAAATGCGCTGCTGAGATGCGCTTGCCGCGTCGCCCCAGCAGCAGCGAGCATGAGGGTACAAGATGGGAGACCAATGAAGGCTTCTTTGAAGGAGGCTGCCTCTTCGAAGGGACGCCCGCGCCTTCTAAAGGGGTGCCTCTGAGAGGCCATCCCCCCTCCCGTACCCCCTTTTCTGCACGTGGAGTAAGATGATCCTCAGAGCGTATGCTAGTGAAAAGGTGTGCTTGTGCACCGAAGCCCGTCAGTACGACGCAGACGGCACTATGAAGGCCGACGCGGGCTGCGTGCAATCGGCGGAGCCGAACGGGGTGACACACACACACACACAGACGCACACACACACACAAACACACACACACACGCACACGCACACACAACACACAAAACACGAAACACACATACACACACGCACACGCACACGCACACGCACACGCACACGCGCAGACACAGACACACAGACACACAACACACAACACACAACACACAACACACAACATATCACATACACAACACACACACACACACGCACCCGCAGCCGCAGCCGCAGCCGCAGCCGCACACGCACAAGCACCCGCACCCCCACAGATGCAACCACAAACACAAGAACAATCACAAGCACGAGCACGAGCACAAGCACGAGCACAAACACATACACATCAGACTGACAACGCACGCCCTGAAAATCATCGAAGGAGGGTGGGGGCGGAAACAACTGCGCCTAGCTTCGCGGTTCGCGCTGCGCGAATCACTTCGCGCTGTCGTTGCGGCGCCCAAGGGGCCTAGACACGGCGCGGCCCACAGTTCGTCGAAATGAACGGGTAAACCGCAACTTGCCTGCTTTGCAGACCTGCGCGCCGCCCAAGGGCGAAACGGAGGATGAGGAGGCATCGGAGCCAAAACAGGAGCGCGAAGACATTCGCGCCCTCGAAGGCGCGCTTCCCGCCGGCCGGCCGACGCACAACCCTCTTCCTCCTCCTCCTTCTCCTCCTCCTCCTCCTCCTCCTCTGTCCTCCTTGTGCCCGCGCCAGGGCCCGGGGCCACCCCGCGGCGGGTGGTGCGGGGAAGGGGCCACGCGAGGCTCGAGGGTCTCAAAGAGGGTCATGACGAAGTCGTGGTCCAGGTTCCTGCGTCGAGCGCGGGCGCGCTGCGCGGCACTAGCCTTGGGTCGGGACGGTCCTCCTACAGGGGGATTTCGAGCAAAAAACAAAAAAATAGCATATTCCCCAAATGCTCCGGAATCGTCAAACTATCGCCCCCCAAACTATTTTTGGAAAAATTTTGAATATTCCCCCTGTAGAGGGACAAGCCCGACTTAACACCAGCCATGCGCCGTCCGGCGCGCAGGCGGGAAACGTCTGACTTCAAGCGGCCACAGGCAGTGCGCTACGAAACAAGGCAAACTGAAGAGAGAAGGGGGGGAAGAGAGGATGAGGGTGTGGAGTGAGGACGAGGGGGGGCACGACGAACAGGAGAGAGGGAGACAAAGAAAGAGAGAGATAGATAGAGAGAGAGAGAGAGAGAGAGAGAGAAAGAGAGAACGAGAGAGACAGAGAGGCTGCAAGATGGGCACTGACCGTGTGGCAACGGCGCAGCTTTAAAGAGCTCCGCGAGGATATTTTGGAGCTGCGCTGGGCCCCCCTCCCTGGCGCGCGGAGCGAGCCGGGGGCGCCACCATAAGCGCCGCAATGGGGCGCTGATCCGAGAAACCCGCGCAAGCTCCGAAATCGTATACTCGTGCAGCTGTAGAATTTTAGTGCGCTTCGATGATGCTACGAAGAGAGAGAGAGAGAGAGAGAGAGAGAGAGAGAGAGAGAGAGAGAGAGGGAGAGAGAAGGAGAGAGAGAGAGAGAGAGAACAAAAAAAAGACAAAGAGAGAAAAAAATAACAACAAAACAACAAGAGAGAGAGAGAGAGAGAGAGACACAAAAAAGAAAGAGCGAGGGAGAGAAATATATACAGAGAGAAAGGGAGAGAGAGAGAGAGAGAGACAGCGATAGAGAGAGAGAGAGAAAGAGAGAGACAGAGAGAGATTGAGAGAAAGAGATAAGATAAGAGAGGCCGCGGAGGCGCGGGTCTGCTCCAGGAGCCGAAAGCCGCTGCGGGGGCGCCGCGGCCGCGCTCCGTCGCCGCCGCCAGCGAAGGCAGCGGCGCTCCCTCTCAGAGGAGGAGGGAGACGAGGTCGCCGACGATGCTCGTCGGCTCGAAGACGACCGCGTAGACCAGCGGGTCCGCGATCGCGCCGCGCAGCAGCCCCATCGAGTTCTCGAGCTCAGCTGCACCTATGAAACGTCAGACCAGCGTGCCGCCGTCGATGTGGAGGAAGGGGTCCTCCTCGGCGTCGTCGAGGCTGGTCGCCATGGGCCTAACCCCTCGCCCAGCAGGGGAATTCGGGCAAAATGCCCCTTCATCGTCTGCGATGGTGAGGCCCCCCGCGGATACCACTCGCTTCGTTTCATGCCCTCTGGGCCCCTCAGGAGCCTCCACCATGCATTCGTCATTCTCAGGCCTACCCCCTCGCCTGGCAGGGGTGGTGGCCTCGCCGTCCAGCTCCTCGACGCGAGGCCTGCCCCCTCGCCTCGCAGGGGGGTCCACCGTGTAGATCCCCACCGCCTCCTCAGGCCTACCCCCTCGCCTGGCAGGGGGGCGAGCCGTCGCGTTAGCCATCGCCTCCTCAGGCCTACCCCCTCGCCTGGCAGGGGAAAAGCCCGTCGTAGTCTCGCCAGCAATCCTGCGCCGCGGTCGCGAACTCGCAGCCGAAGTCGCCGTCGTCGCGGTCGCCGAACTGCTCGCCTCCGTTACCTCCCATGGCTTGCGCAAGCGCACAGGAGTGGAGGAGGGCGCCCCCCCGAGCACTCGGGTCGCCTCACCGGCAGCATCCTCGGCCTGAGGCAGGGGTCTCGACGGAACGTTAGTCCTGGATCCGACATTGGACTGCCCATCTGCTGCGAGCCATCCGATGCGCTGCTGAAGAAGAACTGCTCGGTCCACGGCCTGGTCATCATCAGGTGCTGGTCTCCGCGGAAGTGGTGGGCGAGGTCGGTCTGGGGCGCGATCCCCCAGTAACCGCCTGAACATATTCCGCGCTTCCGCAAGTGCCTGCATATGTCGAAGCTCCAGACGTACTCGCTCTTCCTGTGGTGCTTGCCGCAGTCGATGGATGAAAGCATCGCGCCTTGCAATGGTTTGTCGCCGTGCGCTCGCACAAATTTCATCAATGATATGCTGCAGCGTCCTGCCAGGGAACAACCTAAAGAGGAGGTGCCGTAAAGGATGGTTGCCGCCTTGATTGGACATCTCTGAGACGAACGAAGCACACCACTCCTGCCACGGCCCACTGTTACTTGCCAGACACGTGTAATCTTCGAACCACAACGCCGCCCAGTCTCTGAGGTCCGCTCGCATGCGCGCGCGGTCCTCGGCGGCTCGGTCACCAACAAGCCCAAGAGGAGGAAGTCCCCTGCCCGTCGGTGCGCTTTCGCCTGCCGCCGTCTTGGTGGATCTCCTGCGCCCAGCAGTGGCGGCGGTGCCTGGACGGGGCTGCACGGCCGCATCCAGGACTTGCGTTCTAGCGCCAAAACGTGGCGACGGAGCCCGGGGGGGCTGCACCGCAGCCACCAGGACTTGCGATCTAACGCCAGTTGTTGGCGACGATGGAGCCTGGGGGGTCCGACTAGCGGCATCCAGGACCTGCGTCCTAACGCCCTCCAAGCCCTTCATGGTGCCGCTGTTGCCCAGCATGGTGCTCGCGTCCTCGATCTGCTGCTTTCTGGCCACTTCCTTGGCGCGGATTCTCTCGTGAAGTCTGGCCATGCGCTGCTCAAAGTCATATGGGCCGTCAGGGGCAGGTCGAGCGACTCGAGTGACCACCTTCTCAGGCTGATGACGCCGTGGGTCTCGATGCTGCAGCGGCTTGCTGGCGTCGACGTACTGGGCCAGCTTCTTGTGCGGCCCGATGCCCTTGCGCAAATTGCTAAGTATTTCGGGGCCTTTGGTCGTCGGCCAGGTGCACTGCTCACGCAGCTTGAGCTTCCTCCTCTGCTGCGCCCAGGCCCCGCACTCGATGCACACGAACACTGTCGCCTTGCATGTCATGTCGCTGAGGTCGCCCTTCTGGTTGACTGCCGCCAACCTGTGACCCAAAGTGTTAGCTATGTGTTCCTTGAGAAAAGACGGCGCCCCAGCGCGCCCATTAAGCTGATCATAGCCAGGCTGCCGTAGGCGTAGACAACGCGTGCACTGCTGACCGAGGTCCGCATCCTGCCAGTCGTGCCAGTTGTCAGTCCTGATGCTCTTGATGCGCTTGTAGCCCGTGCTGTTCCTCTGCCGCCGCTCTTCCTCTTGGTCGAAGATGGGCATGCTGTGCGCGATCAGCTTAGTGATGTCCTTACACAGAAGCTGGTGCTGCTCTAGCCGCTCTCTGAGCTTACTAGAGATTGCCTCATGCCGTCCAGCTCCTTCTGCCGCGTAGTGATCCGCCACGACGTTGCCATCCGTGATGCGCTTGGTCTCAGCATCGAGGTTGGCGTAGTCTTCCCCAGATCTGTGAGCCTTGACGTGTCGCACCGCTTTCACGTGGGCGAGCCCAGGCAGGCTCTGGGCAAAGCCGAAGACGCCGCCGCAACGCTGCGTGACCTGCACCTGCTGCTGAGCCGACGTGTTGAACTGGTGGATCGTCCCTTTGAAGTCCGCGTGCAGCGTCGTAGGTCGGTCAGCCGCCTGACACGAAAAGCCGAAGGCGAGGTACTCGGCCATGGCCGAGGTCGGCGGCAAGCTAGCTGGCACCGCCACGTACATCACTCGTAGCGCATCCGTGCCTTGGGGATTGAGCAGCACCGTCGCCCATCCTGCCCGCTGCAGCTCAAGTAACGCCGGTTTGGTGCACGACCCGTCGACGGCAAACTCGATCTCCTCCGTGTCCGACGGCACCGCATACTGTACCATATCTTCAAGGCCTTCGTCCACATCAAAACCGTCGACTGTGACCACGCAGGCTTGCCTGCCGAGATCCATTCGCGGTAGCTCTTCGTCATGAATTGCGAAGCATCCTGTCAAAAGTCGCCCACCCTCGCCGTCCTCACGTAGATGTTGTAAGACATGCGCCTCTACTTCTGCTTCAGCCCGAGCAGCAGCGACCTCAGGAAGCTGACATCCCACCAGTCGGTGTAGTGCCGTGTCGACCTCGCCGCACTTGCACTTGCCGTCGGTGATGCAGCCCCTGCTTCTGGCCCGCGAACGTGTCCAAATACCATCGCACGCGCAGCTCATGATGCAGAACTTCTGGCGAACGTTGAACTTCCTGCTGTTCGGCCTGGTGTAGGGGGCCACTAGGTCGAATGAGACTCGCAGCGAGGAGTCTTCATACCATTTCCCGCTAAGAGCTAGTTCATGCTGTCGGCGAAGTCCCTGGGCCAGCAGAGTCTCGAGCATTACGGGCGTGGTCTGGGTGATGTCCACGATGTCCCCGCGCTGATTCCTCCATTGGGTCCCAGTGACGACTTCCCAACCTGCCCTCTGGACGCGCATAGCTGCTCGTTGTAGTGGTCCTCGTGTTTGGCTCCACTGCGTAAGTATCCCTGGTACCGTAACCGCATTGTCCCACCACTGAATCAGCTCGCTGAAGTCAACGGTGGCGGCCTGGGGGCAGTGGTTGGCGATCCAGCGCATGCGGCACCACTGGAGAGCAGGAGCCAGTGCCTCGTGTACCGCTGGATCTCCAAGAAGCACCAGCTTTGCCGATGCTGAAACTCCCCAATGATAAGGTTTCCGCTGGCTCCGGCAGGTCTTGCGAAACTTGACGAGCTCGCCGTCACTCATGCCGTTGATCTCTACTCCGAAGGTGAGCGCAAGCATGGCCCCCGCCCAGTAGATGCGCGATATGCGCTCCGCCGCCTTCGTCGGGATCGCCTTTCCAAGTGTACTGAGCTTGCGGAGCCTCTGATGATGACGACGGGCCCTGGCTTTGCACTTGCCTCGCGCACCGCCTGCCCCGCGCCTCTTGCCCCCAGAGAAGTCGGTGCCCAGGAAGGATACTGCTGGCTTGACTGACTGCTGCTGCACTTTGAGGCCCTCTGCGATCTGCTTGCTGATGTCGTCCGAGCTGGTCACGATGGCAAGCTTGTCGCTG